AACCCTTAGTGTTGCCCCCGTACCGGACCGGGGCCCGGCAATGGGATCGCAACCCTCGGTGTTGCTCCCGCGCCTCACTCAGCCAGCGAGCGGGAACCGGTCTGCATGTGGGATCCGAACCCTCGGGCGGGAGCGCCGCCGCGCTTCCCAAGCGGCGCACTTATCCAGTGCGCCACCGGGCCGGCCCATGGATTTGTTTTTAACCTAAAAGGTTGCACATCACACTGTCAATACTAATCACTTCACGGGCTGGCACGCGGAAAGAAGGTCTGGGAAAGCTTCATTTATTTTACTTCTTTCAAAATATTTTCTTCTCCCTGGTTTCCCTATTACCATCTTTAGACATCAGCTTGATAAAGTTCATAAGGAGATTTCTTTTGTTTCTGTAAATATCACATTTTCCCCACTTTCTTCTTTTCTCCTTGTACTTCTCAGAGGCTCTGCTTCACACTGTGGTTTGCTCCCCCTCAACACAGCATAATGTGCCACCAACTGAGGAAACAGCCTGCTTCCCTTGGATGTTTATTCTTTTCTCAATCAAAGAGGCTTCAGTGTATGTCACTGTGAAGTGCAAGCAAAGTGAGGCCCCAACTGGGCTCGTGACCCACCTAGCCAGATGGCCTTCGGGATCGTCCTTATCGAAAAAGAAATACGCTTCATGATGACCAAGTCTTTTCAGGACAATGCTGCATGAGTATGACTGAATCAGCTACTGAACCAAAGTTCACAGGACCAAAATCAAAAAGAACAAGAAGAATCAACCAAGTTGATCTGGTAAAAAGTCATACAGAAAGAAAAACAGAGGAAGTAGTTCAAACGAAATTGAGAATTACAGAATGGGCAAAGTATTTGATCCCCAAATTAACCACTGACCGCTAAAGCATTTCTAGTTCCTCTAAATTTAGTTGTCCATCATGTGTGCAAAATGAGGATGAATGCTAATATTGAAAATGGACACTGGCATGCTGGTATGTAGCAACCAGGTACATAGAGAAACTTGCCACAAAATGAAATGAAACTCAGTATTCTTTTTATTTCTTCTTATTCCACAGGCTTATTTTGAACTCCCTTCCTGTTTATAGGAATCTAATATGCTAGTAGTAATAACTGCCTCAGCATACATGTGGTTTTGGAAGAGATCTTAGTGTTCACCTAACTCAAATGCTTTATTTTATAAAGGTTATGCTATTGCCCAAGGTCATTCAATTATCGCAGTTAAGCTTGCTATAATCAGTCATTTTTCCTGTCTTCTTGTTTTTAGACTACATGCAATGTCACTAAAAACTGGCAAATGTGTTTAAAAAGTAGATGTGAAACTTTATTGGGGGTCGGGGAAAGAGGAACACACATTCACTTAAGCAACGATTAAGTGAAAGCCTGCTGAGCTGAAGGCAATCTTTACAAATAATCTGGAATTACCTAGCCCCACCCTTCCCCAAATTAAAGCCTAATGGCTTTTGAAATGTTGAATACACCAAACCAATAAAATAATCCCTGCTTCCTTCTCATCACACTTAACCAGCTGGAGCTCCTCTAAGATGCATCTGTCTGTTAGTTCATGAGAATCTAAGGGTGAGGCTTACCAGGCCTGAGATCCAAAACCGTACCAGGCTAGCTGGAGCATCTGGAAGCCCAAGCCAAGGAGGACAGTATTCTTATTCCCTAATGATCTCATCAAGATGCTAAGAAAGACTGTCTGCAAAGTAAAGGAGACAACCCTGAGAAACAAAGTGAACACACAGAATTTGAATGCAAGCTGTCAATGAAGCCCACTCACCAATGGCCAAGGACCTCTCAGGGCACAGTGCTTGACCTGTGACCCTGAGACTAGGTGGTACTGATGTATCTCTACAGGTGTGGAGTTTCAGGGGCTCCTGAACCGACTGTGGTCTCAGGGCCTTCAGCCTCCTCCCTGAGAAGCCTGTCTACCTGGTGCTGTGCTGGTACTTCCCAAAAAATCATCACAACCATTGAGCAGTTATCATGACTGAGAGGGACATATCTCAGTCTCTTTGAGAAACACCAGTCACTTAACTATCAGTGATCAGCAAACCCCTGCTGAGCATTTACAAGAATATGTGGGCTTTTACTGGCAGCTCAGTTTACTGGAGGTTCAAAGTTGGGACTGATATAAGTTTGATTTTAACAAATATATACTCTGCAAAATACAACTAGTTGAGACAGTGAAAAGGAGTAGGATAACGACTCTAGGATAATCAACTAACTAGGGTTAATGTAAAAAACAAATCAAAATCACGATCAACTTGAAAGTTTAACATAATTTACATTTGTTAACATGGTTCAACAAAGATAAAAAAAAGTAAAAGGCCTTTGCCTTGATGCATTCCCATGAGCCTTGTCAGTTATAGCATTTGGGTGAAACAGTTTCACAGCCTTCTCTTTTCTCAAGATAGTTATCACAGGAGAGCTCCACTCAGCCTGGTAGCCCCTGCAGGGAAAGCGCCTCTCAGCAGTCCCATATGACACAGTTAATGTACCTACACAAAACAGTAACTACTTTAAAGGACAGAGGCACTGCCCTGTGTAGTCCTACACTGATAATAGATGGAGAAAGAGTTAATGCTTTTTACTTGTTGCATACATTCTAATACAGTGATTCACATTTCTTCAGTCCTGGGGACAGCTGGGGTCGGAATAGTTATTGATTTTCATTTCTACTTACTTTTCAACATTAAAATAACACAAACATTCTTCTGGTTAAGTTAGTTTTGCAATATCTAGAGTTAGACTGTAATTATTTATGGTTTTGGTCATTGTAAAAGCAAAAGAATTGGCTCAGCAGAGTTACGAGAAATATTCTAAAAAGCACTGAAAGTTGTATTTAATTCCTCCTAAATCATAATGTCAACATTCTATTAAAAAATGAATGGTTTTGTGGACTATATCCATGTCAGGTTCCTGGATATGACAGTACCTTATACTTGTGCAAGATGTTACCATGGCAGGTGATATGGGATGGAGGTAGCAGTTTAGGGGATCTCCCTTAACTTTTATATGTGCCTTCCTGTGAATCTATGGTTATCAGGGTAAAAGTGTTTTTTTTTTAAAAAAAAGTATGGGTAAAATGACACTCACCTGAGCCACAATAGACAGAATTCCTACCATAGCTATGAATGCTGCAATTTTAACAGATCCGAAACCTATGACCTATGGAAATAAAAAGAAAACATTGTAGCAATACATATAAAAATAATTAATAAGACATGCTATTTTCTATTAAGATGATAGGATAAATAGCCGAGGAAAGTTTATAAAAACCAGTTGCAAAACAGGCAGTGCTGAAAGCTGAACCTATTTCACCAGTGATTTTTATCTAAATCTGATATAAGGAATTATTATAAGCAGGTACAACATAAATTACAAAGTATTTTTTTGGATAATATTTTTTCAGATATTTTTTCTTATGCTGCCAATTCAGAATTTGCTCATTAGTGAAGCCAGTGGCTCTCAACTCTAGCTGCACACTGAAATCACGTGGACAACAGAGAAGGGGAAAGAAGGTAGAGTTGAGAGGGGAGCAATGAGATGCTGGAACACACTAGAGACCAGCTAAGCAGACTCTCTGAGGGGATGGCCCAGCACAGGTAAGTTCTAAAAAGATTCCATGGTGATTTTAATGAGCAGCCAAAGTTAGCTGGCAATGATTTCTAAGCCTCTGACCCTAACAGCAGCTGTGAAATGCCTAAAAGTTTTATGTTTTAAGTATCAAGTTTTTAAAAAGCTAAATTACTTTGCCCTATATTGAAATTCTACAAAATATGGAAAAAGAACCTTAACAGTTATTTTATACAGTATTCTCATTTCATAAATGAATATTTTGCTTCCAGTCACACAAGTAGCTAAAGAAAGAGCTAGGGCTAGAGCCTCTGGCTGCCCAGTCCAGTGCTGCTGACATGGCTAATCTTCTATTACCATTTAATCATATGCAATAAAAAATAACTGGAACCTGAAAATGAAGTTTTTTTAGGGATTGTTTCTCAGCCTACATTTGTAAATGAACTTAAATACCATACAATTTAAATTTAAATACCATATAATTCACCCATCATAAGTGTACAATTCGGGCCGGCCCGGTGGCGCACTGCTACAGTGCGCCGCTTGGGAGCATGGTGGCGCTCCCGCCAAGGGTTCGGATCCCACATAC